AATACCTTCTCCGCTTCGCATCGAAGCTAAAAACGTATGATACATTTGACACTACTGTATTATTTAAAAAAAAACTGGATAAATTTTATTTTGTAAATAATAGAGTGGGTTTTGTTGAATAAATCAATACAGAATTTAAATATTTATTTTCATAAAAACTTTAGTAGTAGTAGCTAGACAATTGAATTTTGCAATCAAAAACGTTCACGTTCATGAAAAATTAGAACTAAGTTCATTTTCTAAAATTTGAACGCTTCAGCGTATATAAAATATGTTATAAAAATGTATTGTAAAATGAAAAAATTCTTTCTCGTCACTGTTAAAGAATAGAATTATAAATATAAGATATATAATTATTTATATAAAATATTAGGTCCAAATGTCACTAACTGTTATAACGTACATTATTCATGCAGCGATTGCACTTATCAACTACACGCAGGTTATGGGCAGGGTTTGGAACATTCATCTAAAAAACTAATGCATTCTCATTCACATTCTTAATAATTGTCTTATAAAACATTTATATTGAACTAGCCAGTATATAATTAATGGCAAAAGCGCCTCCGCCCTCCTTAAATTTTAACCACTATATTAAATCTCTAAAATTCACTGACCCAACTCTAAAGTTTTAAATTATAAGCAAATGAAGGCTTGTATTTCAATGAATAATAAAAAATATTTTAATAAAACGAGTTTTCTCAGTGAGTCCTCCTAATAACCTCTGGCATAAAAAAATAAATTATTATTTAAAAAAAGTACAGAAGGGATCCAGTAAAGTGGAGTCAAGGCGTTCATTAGATTAGTATTGATTGATATCTGATATTGATTATAGTCACTGTCGCTTCATTGCATATTGGAAAATAATTTAACACGTCTACCAATAATTACTTGATTTTCAATTTTAGAGTTCAATTACTCATAGAAGACAATTCAATAGAACGCTTTTTGTTGTACATTAAATTAGCTATAATTTAATTTAGTTTTGAATGATATAGATGTCCCGTTGCTATGTAAAATTTTTCTAAATTCTTAACGAAAATTATAAGATTTTTGGCTTTAATGGTTATATAAAAAGTCGAATTTCAGCCAGGCAGACAAAACAGCTGCCTTGAGTACAAAATGTTGAGGAGCCATCTTGATAAGTCGAATAGTAATTTATCTTTCCAAATATATTCATGAAAATTTCTATGTTTAATATATCAACGAGAAATAATAGCTTATTTACGAGGAAATCACCAAGTCTGGATACCCTCCCTTTCATTGACCCAAAATGTTGGCATTTTGGGAAAGTAGATGGATGAAGCTCTTATATAAATTTCTGAATGTGGAGTTCTGAAAGATAAACGGACTCCTCTTATAGTAAATTTCTAAGTATACCATTGAAGAGAAGTACTGATTTGATAACTACCTAAGGGTCCTGAGACTCCAAGTCCGGCCTTATAAATATAAATATAAATTAAATTGGAGTAGTTGGATACAATTATTCTTTTTTTATCCTTAAGTACATTATATTAGCTTTAATTTAATGTAGATTGAATGAAGTAAAATTCGTGTATGTAGAAAGTTATTAATAATTGAAAGTATTGACGGGAGGTAAGAAGAGGTTTTGATATTTTTATCACTAGACATTTTTAGGCTTACTCCTCCTCCCGCCTATGTATAAAAGTGTTAATAACTTTTGAAATACNATAGAAAGTTATTAATAATTGAAAATATTAACGGTAGGTAAGAAGAGGTTTTTTGATATTTTTATCACTAGACATTTTTAGGCTTACTCCTCCTCCCGCCTATGTATAAAAGTGTTAATAACTTTTGAAATACCAGTCCAAAAGTTAAAAATCAGTTATTTACTTAACTAGATCATTACTCAATAAATAAGCTAGTTAAATATGTACATAGTCTTTGAAAAAACACATTATTATGTCTCTTTGTCTTAAGTCTAATGTATAATAGATGAATATGAAAAATGCTTTATGATTGATAAAATGAAAAAAACATGTACAAATATCGGTTTTTAAAACGAATTACGTTTTTTATGCTGAATTATAGTAATAATATTGATTACTTAAAATTCCCTAATTGTTATCTGAGTGCTTAATTATAAAAAATCATACATTTAAGTTATTATCCATTACTATCTGTGTTGTTGAGTTAAACTTTAAACCAATAGTAATTATCATATGAATAATAATTACTACCGTAACATAGCTATAAAATGGAGTTTTAATATTACTTAAAATAAAATAATTAAACCATAATTGATTTACATTTATACAAAGTTAAAAATATTTCGAAGGTTATCTTTTTGTTGTAATTTTCAATTATGATAGCCGTTGCCATTTGTGGTGTTTTCCTTTATTTTAGTGTATCAGAACTTAAGTTAGATTTTTACAAATAATTTCGGATACTCAATTTTCATTATTTTAATATTTTAACTATTAAACAATACATTGATTTAGGCAAGGTTTTTTCAAAAGGAGGCTAAAATCTTTTTTTCTTATCCATACTCTTACTAGAGCGGATGTCATACACTGTTAATAGTTATAAGACCAATGGAAAGTGCTAGAGCCCTTTTAGCCCTGCTCCCTTAGGTAATATTAAGTAATAATAATAATAAGGACATAATAAGTGGTAGCCGAAGTGTAAGAATTGATTTTCCCATTGCTGTGGTTTTTGAAAGTACATAAATGTATTGAATTAATATTAGAGAAACCATAATTAATTTATTAGTAGGGGGTATAATTGATGTTTATTAATTATAATAAATAATCTAAATAAAATAAAGTTAATATGCTTGAACACAGTTGTTGTGCAACTTACGTTTAGTTAAAAACAATTGCATATTTTGATATAGGCATATATCTACAGAATTAAATTTGAGTGGTGGCAATTTTTTAAAACAATTTTTTTTTAATGATTGTAATTATTATTTAATATCTTAATGACACTTGTTCTGTTTTTTTACTGTAAATATTTCATTTATATTTTAATGGTCATCACTAATTTTATTTCAATTTTCAATAACAGTACAAAAAATACGAATTTATCATTTTAATTGTTGTCTCTGGGGAATATTACATTTTACACTGGTAAAATAATTTTGAAAAATATTTTAAAATTTACCATACAATATTTTTTGAGTAGGGATGAATAATAATTTTGAAAAATTAGGCGACTTGTTCCTCCAAATTCCCAATAAAAGGTGGACATTTTTTAGAGATTTACTACCGCGTTGAATTTGTAAATAAACCTTTAGCTAAGCGGGAAAATGTAGATAATGAGAATATTCTAAGTTTATTTTTTCTGTTATTTATTGATATTTCCATCAAAAAATGAAAATTAAACCGAAACAAGAGAAATATTGACATTAAAAATAGTCTTAAAAGGATCATAGTTTTTCGATCAAAATAATACTTTGAATAAACTCAGAAAAACAACAATGCAATATGTTTATTAATATAACTATAATAATAATATTTATTTTTATTTTTTTGTAAAGTATTGTTAATTGTATTATTATTTTCAATTTATCGAAAATTGTCAAAACAAATAACAATACTGACATATAATTATGTCCCCCTTAAGCCTCTTAAGGGGGCCTTTCCCCCTTAAGTCATTTAAGGGGGAAATGCCCCTATTATCCCTCACAAGTACGTTATTGGTATTATTTAACGTATATACTAATAGATATGTTCATTTTAACGTGAAATTATAATATTTGTAAAATGTTATCATTTTGAACGTTGAATTCAATCCAAGATAAAACTATTGTGGAATTTTGAAGAATTATTATAACTGGTCTTTTATCAAATAAAACCATAAAATGCTGTTTAAATCTAAAACTCAGGTTTAAAATTAATGATATTTTTATATCTACTAATAAAAAATCACATTGTTGTATTGTTCATTCATTCAAGAACCACATATTTACGAATTTTTATTTAATTTCTATAACATTTTAGTGTTTATGATTCCTTGATCTCACAATTGTCTAGATGTTTAATCTGTATTAATTACATTTATTGATAATAATGTTACTTTAAAGGAATAAGGATTTTATAATTTAATAAATACTTATAAAGACTAAGATCATTGTATCACTTAATTACTGTTGGGCCTTTCTTATAAGCTTTTAAACAAACACTTTAAAGTCATTTTAATTAATTTGATACTTATATGTATTTCAACTTCAATAACTTGGAAATAATAGTTTTATTATTATTGAACGAAAGAAAAATGATTTAAAAAATTGGCGATGGTTAATAATAATATTATTTTACAACATATCTAATTATTTGATGATTTTTTTTGTATAATTTTTTTCTTATATTCTCACTCATACGAAAAAAATTTTTTTGCAAAATAATGTCAATTTACGTTATTAAAATATTTTTATTTTTTTATTTACTTTAGGCCTAGTATGTCACAAGGTACTGTCATTCATCAGAGACTTACAGAAAAAGATTTTAACATTAGCACTCCCGAAGAGTTTGTTAAACGTTTTAAAGGAACTCGTGTTATTAATAAGGTAGGTCAACTTATTTATACAATATTTAATTTAATTTTTAAATCATTGAATTGTTATTTAATATATTATATATAATTAATATTTACAATTTTAGGTTTTAATTGCTAACAATGGTATTGCTGCTGTTAAATGTATGAGATCTGTCCGTCGGTGGTCTTATGAAATGTTTAGAAATGAAAGAGCTGTTCGATTTGTTGTAATGGTTACACCTGAAGATCTTAAAGGTAAATTACTTGATTCAGAATTTTAAAAGATCAATTGTTAATTACATTTTTTTTTTAGCAAATGCTGAATACATTAAGATGGCAGACCATTATGTCCCAGTTCCTGGTGGTACAAATAATAACAATTATGCTAATGTAGAGCTGATTGTTAGCATAGCTATACGTTTTCAAGTTCAGGTGATTTTATTCTTTTTAATATTTTATACAATATTTCATTTAAAAGATTAGTGTATTAAATAAATGTATAATTTTTAGGCTGTTTGGGCTGGCTGGGGACATGCATCTGAAAATCCTGAACTCCCTAAATTGTTAGATAAAAACAAAATTGCTTTTATTGGACCACCAGAAAGAGCTATGTTTGCTCTTGGAGATAAAATTGCTTCTAGTATTGTTGCACAAACAGCAGAAATCCCCACATTACCATGGTCAGGTTCAAGTAAGTAAAATGTAAAAATTTCCTCTAAAAATATTATTAAATTTAAATGAGTTTTTATAAAAAAATTTAGAGAGTTATAAAATCAAAGTATTTATCAACATCATATTATATATTATATTATTATTACATAAATATTGACTGTCACTGTAATACCATTTAACAAAGTTTCAATTTGTTCAGGAGAGAGAACTAATTAAATATAAAAAATATAATTTATTAAGCATTAAGATAACATTATCATCTTAAAACTATAATTTTAAAGGAAGATAGTTTTTAAGATGAACAAAAGTATAACTTAACTTACAAAGGAATAATTTTAAAATTTATAACCCAACAATTTTTATTTTTTAAAAATGTGTTAAATACGGGGTATTATAGTAACAGTTGTAAGATGTGAATTAATACATTTTTAATTAAGTGTTTTTGCATATTTGAAGTTTTTTGAGTACTTATAAACATTTATTTTTTATTTAAGTTTATATTACTCTTAGTAATGTATCCTAATTCAATTTTCAGATGTGGTGGGTCATTATTCTGGTAAAAAAATTGAAATAGGACCGGAATTGTACAAAAAAGGATGTGTGTCAACAATTGAGGAAGGTTTATTATCAGCTGAAAAAATAGGATATCCAATTATGATTAAGGCTAGTGAAGGTGGTGGCGGAAAAGGTATAAGAAAAGTAGAAAATATTGAGGACTTTCCAGCTGCATTTAAACAGGTAAAAATAACTAGTTATAGTAATGAATCAAATTTTTATTTATTCTTGTTTATAATAAAAAATTCAAATTAAGAGTACTTAGATATTATTATCAGTTAATTACAACTATAACAATTGATTAATTACTTATTTTAATTCTTGATGTGTCTATTAGAGTGTACAGGTTGTGTAATACTTATAAAGTAATATTTTTTTATCAAACTTCTGTTATTTATTTAACTAAGATTTCTTATTAATTATGAAGCGGCGAGTGTCACTATTATTATCCATAGTTAAGTCCTGGTTGGTAGTATTTAATTTAAATATAAAGAAATATTACATTTAATTAAGACCAAAAAAAATATTATAGTAATGATCTATGAAGTGTTTATATATATATATATATATATATATATATATAACACTTAAAATGGTGTTAATATTGTGTTAAAATTACATATAATTTCATATTTAGTGAAATAAAGAAAAGTGTATATGTTAAGGCACCATTTAAATTAATTTTTGTTTTGTAGCTATATTTTTTTGGTACTTATTTTATGATTTATTTTGATAAATATTAGGTACAAGCTGAAGTTCCTGGATCTCCAATTTTCATCATGAAATTGGCCAAGTGTGCTAGGCATTTAGAAGTACAACTATTAGCCGATCAGTATGGTAATGCTATATCTTTGTTTGGACGTGATTGTTCTATCCAAAGAAGACATCAAAAAATTATTGAAGAAGCTCCTGCAGTCATTGCAGAACCCAGTGTTTTTGAAGAAATGGAGAAAGTAGTTTTTATTTTTTCATTTAAAATCAAGATTAACATTATCTGTATTTTGAAGAAAAAAAAATTATAATATTTTTTCAGGCAGCTGTTCGTATTGCTAAAATGGTTGGTTATGTGAGTGCTGGTACTGTGGAATATCTTTATGACACAGATGGAAACTATTACTTTTTGGAATTGAACCCTAGACTACAAGTTGAACACCCATGTACTGAAATGGTTTCTGATGTAAACTTACCAGCTGCTCAGTTACAAATTGCTATGGGACTACAACTTAATTGTATAAAAGATATTAGGTTGCTGTATGGCGAGTCAGCTTGGGGTGACAGTTATATAGATTTTGATTCACCAAGACACAAACCTCATCCATGGGGACACGTTATTGCAGCTCGTATTACTAGTGAAAATCCTGATGAAGGTAACTAAAAATAATACGAATCAACACATTTTAATTTTTAAAATAAAAAATACTATTTAAAAGTTAATTTTTCTTTTGTTGTTTAACAAAGTTTTTTTGTTTAGGATTTAAGCCTAGCTCTGGTACTGTCCAAGAACTTAATTTCCGTTCTTCTAAAAATGTATGGGGTTATTTCAGTGTTGCAGCGTCTGGAGGTTTGCATGAATTTGCTGATTCACAATTTGGTCATTGTTTTTCATGGGGTGAAAATCGAGAACAAGCTAGAGAGTACGTTAACATTTAAATTTAAATAAATATTTTCTTTTTATAACTATGTACTAATAGTTAGGAATAATTTGTGTATATTTTTTTATAGAAACCTTGTAATTGCTTTGAAAGAACTATCCATTCGAGGTGATTTCAGAACAACTGTTGAATACTTAATTACACTTCTTGAAACAGAATCTTTCCAAGTAAATTTTTAAATATAATTGTAGTGGTGATTTTAGTTTTAATTAATTTCATATATTTATGTTTTAGTCTAACACTATTGATACAGCCTGGTTAGATTTATTAATTGCAGAACGTGTACAATCTGAAAAACCAGATATTTTACTAGGTGTCATTTGTGGAGGACTTCATATTGCCGATCGCAAAATTACTGATGCATTCCAAAATTTCCAAAATTCTTTAGAGCGGTAAATTTTTATTTTTTTATATAGAAAAAGCCTTCGACTAATGAGATCATTGTCCAAATTTATTAATACTTACAATGGTAACATTAAATTTTATCTTTTATTTGTATTGACTTGATAAATTGTAAAGTTTTCATCATGTTATAAAGTCGGTATACAAAATTTTCTTGTAGCTCGAGGTTGTTATTTTCAGTATTTTATATTCCAACATAATAAGTTTGATTGAGTTTTCAGTTCCATATGTGGTGCAAGGGTAGAGATCTTTTCTTTGTGTTAGATGATTATGAGTGTAACAGGTGTGTCTGTTTCTGAAGTGAGTAAGGATAATATTGTCTCTTCTGCTGTTATTTATTATATGATTAGATCATTTTTTTTGTTTTATTTCTCTTAGTTTAATATTCTTTAATAGATTTCATTCTGTTTACCATTCATCCATTGCTTGTCTAATGAAATCCTTGTTGTGGTCATCCTTGCTGTAAGTGTTTAGGTATTCTAGAGTGATGTCATTTTCAGCTTTTTCTTAGCCTGTTATATCTGCATGTTGTGGTATTCAGGTGAGCTTATCTGTTGATTGTCGTGTGAAGTAAGTTTTTAATTTTGATAACAATTTCATTTTATAATTGTTATTTAAATGATACATGGATGTAATATTTTTAAATATTTTATTACATAAGAAAATAATGTATGTGTTTAGAAATATCTCCAATTTTCCAGGAGGTTTCATATTCAAATTAATTTTAAATAAGTCTAAATAATATTTTACTGGATGTATTATATTTATAGGTGTATCAGTTAATAACAAAAAAAAAATGTATCATTGTATGTACTTATAACAAATAAAAATAGATTGAGGATTGTTTGAAATGGAATAAACCAAAGTTTAATTATATATAAATTTATTTTAGCTTCGATGTGAAGCTGAGAATTTACTAATAATTTTATGACTAAAAGGAGAAATTATTGAATAATGTTAATTCAATTTTCAATGAACCAAGTCAGCTTAGTTTTTCTAATTATTATACCTTTATTATAATTAAAATTAGACTGGAAAAAATAATTATCTCTGAATTAATTATTTACCCCTGGAATTTTTGCTCATTTAAAGAGGAATATTATAACTCACCAATAAAACTATTATATTTTAAAAATAAAAATAATTTTCGATTAAAATTTTATGTATATAATTGATTTATATCTTATATAATTAAATTTAAAATTTGTTGCAGAGGTCAGGTTTTAAGCTCCAATACATTAGATCATCATGTTTCTGTTGAGTTGATAAATGAAGGATTCAAATATAAAGTTCATGTCACAAAATCTGGTCCTAATTCATATTTTCTAATTATGAATGGATCTTTTAAAGAAATTGAAGTTCACCGTCTTTCAGATGGAGGTATTTCTAAAATATTAAAATTAAAAAAAAATATTATGAAAGTGTCTTATCTTACATTATTTATACCTTATTATAATTTTCATTTGTTTTTCTTCTTTGATTCAGGGATTTTACTGTCTTTGGATGGATCTAGTTTTACTACTTATATGCGTGAAGAAGTTGATAGATACAGAATTGTTATTGGAAACCAAACTTGTGTCTTTGAAAAAGAAAATGACCCTTCATTATTACGTTCTCCTTCTGCTGGAAAATTGATAAGCTTCCTTGTTGAAGATGGTGGAGCAGTGAAAAAAGGAATAGCTTATGCTGAAATTGAGGTTACTATGACTAAATTATATCATATTTATTGAGCCCTGATTATAATATTATAGTCAAGGTTCGTTGTGTAATTTGCACATTATGCAAGAGTTAAAATAGAAAACAAATTTTTATAAAATTTATTAGGTTATGAAAATGGTTATGACATTAACAGCTACTGAGAATGGTCGTGTATTTTACAACAAACGTCCTGGTGCTGTTCTTGATGCTGGATCTTTAATTGCTACTCTTGAATTAGATGACCCAACTTTAGTTACCAAGGCTGTTGAATATAAAGGACAATTCCCAGAGCTTGACGGTACTTCACATATTTACGGTGATAGTTTGAACCACATTCACATAAGTTATAGAACAATGTTGGATAATATCCTTGCTGGGTACTGCTTACTAGAACCTTATCATTTGTGTCGATTAAGAGAAGTCATTGAAAAGTTTATGAATTCTCTACGTGATCCTAGTTTACCACTACTAGAGTTACAAGTAAGAAAATTAATAGAATAATTTACTTTGTTGCCTTTTTTTTTTTGTCCGGTACATCAATATTTTCGCTCCTACTGAGCTCATTTGATTCAATGGAGATAAAATATATTTATTTAAAGCTATCAGCACCATAATTTTGATAAATCCCACTCATTACCAGTAATAAAGAGAAATATACCAAAAAATTACAGTTATCATAAAACGTCAATGTTAAAATTTTTTGTTTTCAATTAATATTAAAATAACTTTTTGAAAATTGAACGAATTATTGCAAAATTTTGAATAATACTTTTAACATTTGTCTTGATGACGTTTTTTTTTTTTTTTTTTGAAAAATCAATCATTAACTTAGGTACTTTGAGGCTTAAAAATCATATCAAATTTTTTTTCTTTTTAATTTGTAATAATGCTTCAAAAAACTTGTCTTTTTTAATCCTACATCAAATTAAAGCTAATATAAAGTACTTTAAAATAAAAAAATAAATACTATCCTAAATCTCGATTTCAGAAGTTTTTGGGTATTAAAAGCAATTATCATTTAATCATTTATGATTAAAAAAAGAAAGATATATCAATATTTAGATGATTGTCTTCTTTGAGTAATAAGCCTATAAAACTATAATCATGTAATTTTTGGTGGATATAATAGTTATATTTAAATTGATCAATTTATTTGAATAATGCAAAGATCAAAATAAAATTTTCAATGGTAATATTTAAATCAAATACCTTACTTTCAACATACTTATTTTAAAATTCATTTATTTACCAAAGTACTGAGAGGGGGCATAATCATCATATCAAATTATTTTATTTTCAATTTTTGATAATGTTCCAAAAACCTATCTTCTTTGAACTTATATTAAGTTAAAGCTTATACAATTTACTTTAAAATAAAATAATATTATTCATTAAACTTGTCTTTAATGACTAATATTTATTGATATATAAACCATATAATTTTTGTAAAATTAGCCAATTATTTAATATTTTGCATAATTAAAATGCTTATACCATTATAAATTATTTCAAATTAAAGCTCATTTAATGTAATATATTAAGAAGAAAAAAGAAAAATGTTCTGGCGATACATCCTCTATGAGTAATCAAATACTTATGTTAAAGAGTATGTAATTTTTGATAGTTGTGGTCAATTTTTTTAATATTTTTCGAATATGTATCAAATTGTTTACGACAGCGATTTTAATCACTATCAGATTCATTCAACACTAATCTAAAAAATACTTCAACTGCACTTTACTGTATTTCTACTTTACTTTTATTACACTTTAAAAGGATTAAATAATTTTAATTTATTATAATTTTTTTAGGAAGTGATTTCTTCAATATCTGGTCGTATTCCTAAACCAGTTGATAAAAAAATTAAATCTTTAATGAAGCTTTATGAAAGAAATATTACCTCAGTACTTGCTCAATTTCCTAGTCAACAAATAGCTGCTGTCATCGATGGGTACTCATTTTTTTGTTAATTTTTTATATATTCTATTTTTAAACAAATTTTTCTTTTAGACATGCTGCTACACTTCAAAAACGTACAGACCGTGATAGTTTCTTTCAAACTACACAAGGTATTGTTCAATTAGTCCAAAGATACAGAAATGGAATACGTGGACGAATGAAGTCTGCGGTTCATGAATTGCTCAAACAATATTATGAAGTTGAAAGCCAGTTTCAGCATGGTAAAAAATGATAATGTTTTTAGTTAAAGCTATTTCTATCCTTCTTTTTTTCTTTTACTTCAACTACTGATACTATCTGTATCCTAAACTTCCACTTAAAACAGTCTACCACGTCATCTATACACACACCAACAGCCCTCATATCACTCCTAAATATAATTAACTACCTATTTTTCAAACTTCTTCTTTTTCTTCTTCCTCGACGTACATTTCCATAACTGTTCCTACATCTTCCAATTCCTCATTCCTTATAATGTGACCAAACCATTTAAGCCTACTTTCTCTTATTCACTATCGAAGCTAGTCCTATGCTTCCTCTTATATATTCACTTCTTTTTTCTATCTCTCATCATTTCACTCATCCATTTAAGTTTTCTCAACTCTTCTACACTTATTCTCTGCTTTACTTTCTTATCAACCCATCAAAATTCTATACAACATAGTTAGTCTCATTACAGTCTTATAGAACATACCTTTTAGACTAATTGGGATTCTTTTATCACACAAAACACCTGACACTTCTCTCCACTTGATTCATATGCATTTTATCCTATGTCTCAAATCCTCGCCAATACCACCGCTCTTTTGTACAAATGATCTTAAATATTTAAAACTTTCTGCTTCGCTTATCAGTCCTCGTTTAATCGCTCTCATGTTCTCTTCTACCATTTATATCTATTTTCTCTCATCTTATCCAAGATTGATGCTATATTTATACTCCCTCTTATATGGTCGTTCCTTATCTTCTTTAATCACTCATCCATATAAGCATTCTCATCACTGTTACATTCATTATTTGATCTATTCCTTGTCGACTAACCAACACTATGAACCATACAACTTAATCCTGTGTCTTACATCCTTGTCAATATCACCGTTCCTTAGTACAATTGATTCTATTGTGCCTTCAAACATATACTCTATTGCATCAAGCTGTATTTTCTTCTCCTTATACTTTTCTATTAGCTGTCTCACAGAAAATAACGGCTCTATTGTTGAATTTCTAGGCAAAAAACAAAACTGAATTTTAGTTACCGATATCTCGCTTATTATTCTCTTAACGTTTATCTTTTCCCATATCATCATACTTTGTGTCTTTATAATCTCCATGTTTCGGTATAAGTCCTTTGACTTTAAATACAGGTACCATAAAACTTTTCCTCCACTCTTTTGGCATCTTTCCTTTTATTAAGACTTTACTAAAAAGACCTCTCAACGACCTTATGCTTAGATAATTAATATTTTCCACACTTCCTTTAGGATTTCATCTGTCTCTACTGCTTTTTTCTTTGTCATCAATCTCACCAGCCTCCCACGCCTCCTTACTAAATAAATCTTATAGTCCTTTGTTCCATAAAATATTTCTTAAAGTATCTCTTGGGTACTCCTCATTTATCAATTTTTCATAATATGCTTTTCATCTCTTTTTCACATCCACATTTTTTTACACCATATATTTAAAAATCCCTTTGGGTCAATTTTCTATAACCTTTACCAATCTATAAATTGCTTTTACGCCTTTCTTTGTTCCTAACTTATCATACAACTCATCATACTTCTTACACTTTGCCTTACAGCAAAGTAGCTTAGTTAAAGCTACATTTTTATAAATAAAAATGATCACAGGAAGTTATGATAAGTGTGCAACTGCATTGCGAGATAGATACAAGGATGATATGGCTGCTGTAACATCTACTATTTTTTCACATACTCAAGTAGCAAAGAAGAACATGTTAGTTACCATGTTAATTGATCATTTATGGTCTAATGAACCTGGACTTACTGATGAACTTGCTGCTACCCTTAATGAGTTAACTTCATTAAATCGCAGTGAACATTCCAGAGTTGCCCTTAGAGCTCGTCAAGTAAATGTTCTATTATAAAATTTAATAAACAGTAAAAAATACAGCGTGATTCACTAGTTATACACAATATCTTCAAAAATATAAGAAAATATATAATTTCTCTTTCAGAAGTTAAAAGTATCCTATAAACTTTAATTAACACAAAATTATAATTCTAACTCCTCTCTTTCACCCCTTAAAATTATACCAAGTTTAATTGTTTTAAAATATTTAAATGTTAAACACTTTCATACATGTTTAACTAGCTTAAAAATAAGAAAATTATTTAACTTAAAAAATGACTCATCAATATTAACTTTTGAACCAGTATTTCGAAAGTTATTAACACTTATAAATAAAGGACAAAGATGAAGTGCGTGTCTATTTATTTTTATCTCTTAAAATTTTAGAACATCGCTCTTCTCCTCCTGCATAATGTAAAAATATTTATATATTTTAAATTATAGTTCAAAAGTTGTTATCGATCAATTTTTAAGTTACATAATTTTCTTATTTTTAAGATATTTATACATGTATGATAGTGTTTAACATTTAAATATTCAATATTTAAACATTTTAGCATTTTAAAGCATTTAAAGTTGGTACAATTTTAAGGTGGAAAGAGAGGGGATAGAATTATTTTTTCTTGTTAATTAAAATTTATAGGTTACTTTTAATTTCTAAAAGAAAAAATTGTATATTTTCTTGTATTTTTGAAAGTAGTCCGAATAGTTAACATATTTAGCAGATCATATTACCATCATGATAAATTAAATCATTATATATTTTAGGTTCTTATTGCTGCTCATCAACCTGCATATGAATTAAGGCATAACCAAATGGAATCTATATTTTTGTCTGCAGTTGACATGTATGGACATGATTTTCATCCAGAAAATCTCCAAAAACTTATACAATCAGAAACTTCAATATTTGATATTCTCCATGACTTCTTTTATCATTCAAATCGTGCAGTGTGTAATGCAGCATTAGAGGTAAATATAAAATTTATATTTAACAGTGGTTTGTTATGTCATCCTATTGAGAATGGTAGCAACTACAAAGAAAATTAAACATAATTTTTTTAAGATTTACCAGTAGCAAGGCAGTAGTTCAATTAATTTAATAAAATAATTTATATCCTATGGTGAATTTATTTTACTGTTAATATTTTATAGGTTTATGTAAGACGGGTCTATATATCCTATGACCTAACTTGTTTACAACACCTAGAATTATCTGGTGAAATACCATTAGTACACTTCCAATTCCTTTTGCCATCTTCTCATCCTAACCGGTAAGTTGTAATCACCTAATTTATTTATTTTTTTTAATAATTTTACTGTTTAAATAACTTCTAATTCTGATTTTATGTTTTAGTCAACGTTTCAATGAAGACAAATCCAATAACTCTGAAAATCCTGACTCACCTTCGAAAACACAATTTCCATATATTCCAACATACCAAAGAACAGGCTGTATGGCTGCATTTGAGTCATTTAATAAATTTGAACAATACTTTGATGAAATTCTTGACATAATGGAAGACCTTTCTTCTCCTGTTTATATTTCTCCAAAAATTATAGAAGCAGTTGAAAGTGGAAGTGAGTCTAGATTAAGCTCTTCTCTCAACGTTAGCTTGTCACTTAGTGAAACTCGTCCTGCTGACCAAGAAAACCTTCAAGTAAATATCAATTATTTTCATTGAAAAACGTATGATAAATATAAACTAAAAATCTTATTATTTTAGATTGAGCCCTGTCATATATTATGTATTGCTATGAAAGATACTGGTAATATGGAAGATGATAAACTGAGTAAAATGTATGAAGAATTTTGTTACAAACATCAAGAAGAGCTTAAAAAACGATCTATCCGAAGATTGACATTTTTGGCTCTTAACAAGCAAGTTAATTTTTTTAATTATTCACATTACTATTTTAACTTTTAATTGTTTGATAGACGGCAACATCCAAAATTATTCACCTTCAGAAACTATGACAATTTTGCAGAAGATAGAATTTACCGGCATTTGGAACCAGGTATGGCTTTCCAACTTGAGTTAAATAGAATGCGCAATTATGATCTAGAAGCTTTACCTACCTCAAATAGAAAAATGTACTTATACTTAGGAAAAGCAAAAGTAAATTTTTTATTTGACTATATAAAGAGTTATATAATAAATAGATTAATTAATACTGTTAAATAATGTTTAAAGGTGCCAAAAGGACAAGTAGTAACTGACTATCGATTCTTCATTAGATCAATTATTAGACATCAAGATTTGATCACCAAAGAAGCATCATTTGAGTATTTACAAAATGAAGGTGAACGTGTTTTGTTAGAAGCAATGGATGAATTAGAGGTTGCATTTAGTCATCCACATGCCCGCAGAACAGATTGTAATCATATTTTCTTGAATTTTGTTCCAACAGTTATTATGGATCCTGCTAAAGTATACTATCCCCAATGATTTTTGTTGTTAAAAAAATTAATAATATTTTTTTCATAGATAAAAGAAAGTGTTACTAACATGGTAATGCGTTATGGACCTCGTTTATGGAAATTACGTGTACTTCAAGCAGAACTTAGAATGACAATTAGACCTTCTCCAACAAGTAAAACATCAAATGTTCGTCTCAGTCTTGCCAACGGTAGTGGTTATCATTTAGATATTTGTCTCTATAAAGAAGTACCAGATTCAAAGATGGGAATGGTATGTTTGTAATATTACACAATGCAAATTTTTTTTATATTTTTATCACAATATTTCTATGTATAAACTAATAAAATATTGGAAAAAAATGTTACTAGAATTTTATAATTATCTTTAACTAATCATATTATTTTTAAGTGTATTATTTATTTGATTTTTAGTTTAAATTTGAGTCTTATGAGTCTAAGCAAGGACCATTACACGGACTGCCAGTTTCAACACCTTATGTTACCAAGGATTTCTTACAGCAAAAAAGATTCCAAGCTCAAAGTGCTGGAACAACATATGTTTATGATATTCCTGACATGTTCAGACAAGTAATAGAAGTTTTATGGCAAGAATACATTGCTGAACACCCAAACGGTAACTGCAATTTTTGTCTTTAGCAATAATGAGAGCTTCAAATTTGTAGGAATATATATTATTTATTTTTTAATAAAATAAAAATATATGTACCATCAAATTAGAATTTGTAACTTTTATTTTGAGAATTTTTTATTACTTCAGTATATTTGTTATTTCCTTTTTCTAATGCCCTATTCAATATTTTTAATTATATAATTTTATAAACCTTTAATATTGTAGATGGAGTTTTAAAAAATAGTGTAGTATTTGATTATGTTGAATTAATTGTTGAAGATGATCATATAGTTGAACAAAAACGGTTTTCAGGTGAAAATTCTGTAAGTGTGGAATAATTTTTTTCTATGATCTAACAATTTTTAAATTAAATATTATTTATTTTGTCATTACCAGGCTGGTATGGTAGCTTGGAGGTTCACAATGAACACACCAGAGTATCCAGATGGTCGAGACATAATAGTCATTGCTAACGATTTGACTATAAATATTGGTTCATTTGGTCCGCAAGAAGATATTGTTTTTGACTTGGCTTCAAAAGAAGCAAGACGTAGAAAAATACCACGTATTTATATTTCTGCAAACAGTGGAGCTCGTATTGGTCTGGCTGAAGAAATAAAGGGAATGTTTAAAATTGCATGGGAAGATAAGTCTGATCCCGAAAAAGTAAGAACATTAATAATAATATTAATATTAATAATTCTTTATTCATCAGTGTTGGTACTAATTTTTTTAATAAGGGCTTCAAATATTTATATTTGACTCCTGAAGATTTTGATAAATTAGCTGGCCAAAACTCAGTTGAAACAGAATTAATTGAAGATGAAGGTGAATCACGATACAAATTGACTGATATAATAGGTAAGTAATTTAATAGAACTATTGTATATAAAAAAAAATGTGTTATGACTTTTTTATTATTTCAGGTAAAGAATTTGGCTTTGGTGTTGAAAACTTAAAATATGCTGGAATGATAGCCGGGGAAACTTCTCGTGCTTATCAAGATATCGTCACTATTTCAATGGTAACTTGTCGTGCCATCGGTATTGGAGCTTATCTTGTGCGTCTTGGACAAAGAGTGATCCAAATTGATAATTCTCATATTATTCTTACAGGCTACAGTGCATTAAATAAGGTAAGCAATTATATTTTAAGTTAAAACACTGAAATTGACTTACACATAAATTACTACTTATAAAAAGGCTCTATATAGTTAATAAAATTGGATTATTATTTCTAGCTTCTTGGTCGTGAAGTATATGCTTCAAACAATCAACTAGGAGGTATTCAAATCATGTACAACAATGGTGTTTCACATAAGACTGAAAGTAGGGATTTAGATGGTGTATACCGTATTTTAAAATGGCTCTCTTACATTCCAAAAACCAAAGATTCTCCATTACCTATTACTCACTCTGTGGATCCTATTGAGAGAGAAATTGATTTTATACCTACTAAAGTTCCTTATGATCCACGATGGATGATAGCTGGAAGAGAAGATTCAAGTAAATACTTATACAGAGTGTTCAGTAAACAAGGAAACGAATTTCTATTGTACTCATTGTTTGTAACAATTTAACTGTTTCCTAACTTACTGAACACCCTGTACAATTCAATTATAAAGTTTCTAGGACCATTTAACCATTAATAGTTTATAATAAGTTGATTACGTGTTATAAAACTATTTGAATTTAATTAAATTTTTAGAATAAAAAAAAAAATTTACTAACTTACTAATTGTTACATAGCACGTTATTCTCTCTAAATCTTTAATTTCAAGTACCATATAACTATATCATAATTTATATGTTAAAATTGATCTATTGAAAACATTTTCATACTAACCTTACAAAATACATCCCCAAAAAAGTGAACTTTATTGGATATTTATTAATTTTATAAATTTTTTGTTGAAGATGGCCACTGGGAATCTGGTTTCTTTGACAAAGGATCCTGGGATGAAATTATGAGGCCCTGGGCACAGACTGTTGTGTGTGGTAGAGCAAGATTAGGAGGTATACCAGTTGGAGTAATAGCTGTTGAAACGAGGACTGTTGAAGTTACATTACCAGCAGACCCTGCTAATTTAGATTCTGAATCAAAGGTATGTTTTCATAATTTTTACAAAGCTTCAGAAAATTTAATATAATATTTATTATTTTTATCAACATGAATTTTATAGACTGTTTCCCAAGCTGGTCAAGTATGGTTCCCTGACTCGGCCTACAAAACATCACAAGCTATTAAAGATTTTGCTCATGAAGAATTACCATTATTTATTTTTGCAAATTGGAGAGGATTTTCTGGAGGAATGAAAGGTTAGATAGTTAGCAGGTTAATATTTGTGTTATAAAATTGAATATGTATTTCTTAATTAGACATGTATGAACAAATTATGAAATTTGGTGCATATATTGTTGATGAACTACGACAGTATAATCAACCCATTATTACTTATATTCCTCCATTTGGTGAACTACGAGGAGGTGCTTGGGCTGTTGTAGATACAACAATTAACCCTAGACATATTGAAATGTATGCTGATCCGGACAGCAGGTAACATTTAATTTAAATAACTACATAGCTTAAATAAAACAAAACAAAAAATAATATTCCTATTAACATTAGGGGAGGCGTTTTAGAACCAGAAGGTATTGTAGAAATCAAATTCCGAGAAAAGGACATTTTAAAGTCTATTCACCGAATTGATTCAAAAATTTCAAGTTTTAAAGCAAATGCCACGTCAAATCCTGAAGAAGCATCTGACATTGAGAAAAAGATTTCTGAAAGAGTATCCGAGTTAAAACCAATCTATCATCAAGTAGCTGTACATTTTGCTGATTTACATGATACACCTAAGTGTATGTTGAGCAAAGGAGTGATAAAAGATATTGTTGAATGGAAAAAATCTCGTAATACTTTATACTGGAGATTAAAAAGAAGATTACTACAAAACCAAATTCAAAAAGTAATCACAAGTACTAATGAAAATATTCTTGATGAAGTTGCTTACGAAATGTTAAGGAGATGGTTTGTTGAAGATAATGGTACTACAGCTGTGAGTTTCATTTTTTTTTTTCTATTACTTTTGAAATATGTATTTAGTAAAACTAAAATTTGTCTTTAATTGTAGTTTTACCTATGGGACAATAACCAAGCTGTTTGTCAGTGGCTATCTAGTCAAATAAATGAAGCTGAAGGCACTATTGTAGCGGATTCATTGATTGGGAATAACATCAAGAGCGTTAAAAAAGATGCCATTATTAATCAAGTTAAATCTACGGTTAATGTAAGTATAGTTATATTGCAAATTCTATTTAAAATTAATTTTTATCTTTTTTTTTTAGGACACGCCTGAAGTTACATCAGACATAATTATGCAAATGTTCTCAAGTCTCAGTGAAATGCAACGTCTTGACTTGATTCATAATTTATCACAGGTTGCAAATAGCCTAGGAAATGTTAAATTGGATAGTTGATTAAATTTACCAAAAGCAGTTATTGTTATTAATTTTAAAATATATAAATTGTATAAAATACTATTTAAAAAAAATATTTATATAAATGTATTGGATATACATTAGTTATTCCTCTTTGTTGATTACCGAAAGTTGATATTCAATGTTGTTAATTTACATTTTCATCCAATTATTTTTTGAAAATTTTAGTGTTATTGGTATTGATTGTTAAGTATAATTTTATTTTATTATGAACAAATTATATTACCATTGGCTGCTATGTTTTTTAATGTCTGTGAACGCATACTGTTAAATGCATAACATTTACTGTAACTCTTTCTCTCTCTTGATAAAGTCCATTTTACCTAAAATTATTATTTGTATACATTTTTGTTACTTCTAAAAAAAGAAAATGTTTTTATTGACAAAGTAGTATATTTTTATTATGTAAGTATATAATGTAATACATGTTATTATGTTATTATTATTGAAAGTTAATGCGAAATTGTAAATTTGTAATGTATGCTTTTCGTGATTAAACATCTAATGTTGAGATGAATTTTTTTTATTAATACTATTGAAGTAATTTATTAGAACAATTCTTACTATCCAATTTTTAATTTTTATTATTTCATTTATAAAATGTTTGGATATTTATCATAGCAGAACCATAAAGTGGTTTTCCTAAGAATTAAGATCGGATCTACCTACAAACGAGATTAGCTTTACTTAAGCAAAAAAAATCAATCCTTTTCAAAAAAATTAAACCCATTCAAGTTCACATTCCATGTGTAAAAAAGGAATTCATTCACACTTAAATAAATTTTTTTATGAAATAAACACGTTTGGATTAAAATATTTGTTTATTTTTTAATAGTTTGCCTGCAACCTTTATAACTTCATTCATTAACATAAACAATTTAATTCAGACAAATATTTACAAAAAAGATATAAATGTCATACTTCCAATGGCGTAATGGAGTTTGTTATAATAAAGGCATATAAATAAGAAAATTATTCGCATCCATATGTACACATTTTTAGTAGATTCTTTCTAATATTAAGGTCAATGTTGTTTGAAGCAAAAATACTTATTTTCTTTTTAAATGCCTCCTTAGCTTGGGATTATCTCTTTATAATTTCCCTTTTGCATCTCCCATCTGAGCTTATAGTGCTACCCAAATAGATGAAATGTACTTGTTCTACAGTTTCAACGTCCTTTAATTTTATTCTTGTTCTTATGTTATTGTCTCTACTACGACTTTCGTCTTCGTTGCGTTTATTTTCATATGTAAATCTTTTTCCATCACCTGTTCATTTTTATACAATTCATATAGCAGTTTTCTTTCCGTGGTTGTTCTTTTCAGCATTTTTAACATTATTTTCCAGTTAACATTATCGAATGCCTTCTTAATGTCAACAAAAGCAATAAACGCCAACTTATCTTTCCGTATTCTTTTTTCCGCTATTAATCTTAAAGCCAATATCGCTTCTCTCGTACCCACTTTTTTTCTAAATCCGAATTGGTACTCTGATAATATTTCTTCTATCTTCTTTTCTATTCTCTTATAGATAATTTTTGTAAGAATCTTTGAGGCGAACGAGAGCAATCGAATCGTTCACATTTTTTTAGCTGATTTCTCCTTTGAAATAGGAATGATTATATTCTTTACAAAGTCGGTAGGTATATCCGCCGTTTTGTAAATATCTCTAATGAGTTTAAAAAATTCATTCACCATATTTTCTTATGCTTCCTTCAAAGCTCGGCTTGGGTCTCGTCAATTCCTGCCGCTTCTTCGGTTAAAGTCTATTAATGCTTTGTCGAATTCTTCACTTAATACCAGAAATTCTACATACTCTTCATCTTGCTCCATATTATTTATTTTTTCTAAATCTGTAACAACTTGTTCAATCATAGTATCAATAGTGAAATACACGTTTTTTTATTTGAATCCATTATAAATCAAAGAAAATAATTACAAATATACAAAGCGATTGCACTAAATTTGCAATCGCTCATGAGATACTGAGTAATTTTTAACAAGTTACACGGGGCGGTACCTTGAGATTACCCTCTCCCTGTGAAAAATATCGCTACTATAAAAAAGCGAAAAAAATATCTCGAAAAACTGTCACTAATTTTGACTAGGCCAGTAAAATTTGAGATTGGTCTCTTAAGCTCGTGGACCCCAAAGTTTTCCCCCTCCCTTAATCGAGGTTTGTAAATGTATAATTAATATTATGAATTAGTTTATAAAATAAGATTTGAAATATTTAAGNGGTTTCCCCCTCCCTTAATCGAGGTTTGTAAATGTATAATTAATATTATGAATTAGTTTATAAAATAAGATTTGAAATATTTAAGGGTAAATATTAAAAAACTCGTCGTTCATTCAACGAGTAGAATTATTATTATAAATATACATATAGAATTTATTATTAATCATTTTTCGGTTGTATAAAATTCTATACGAATAAAAATGTTCAATTTAAAACAAGAAAATTAAACAACTAAGTGTTAACAGCTTATAAATCGATAAATACATGACACTTATCAAAACCCAGAAAAAATTGTTTTCCAAAATTATTATTGGATAAAGATTTAGCGGTTAACAATAAATCGATCATTCTGTAAGTACATTTCAACATAATTATGATAATAATGGTTACTAAAAATTTGTGTCGTGTGTGAATTATTAACGCTGAGCGAAACGATGGACATTTTTTAAGTTATTAACATTTTTAAACATTTAGTGAAAGAAGAGTGCGACGGAGTAGTGCGTAACGATAAAAATAACCTCACCACTATATATTTCAAAATACTTCCGAGATATTATCTCACAGTTATTTCCTTCATTAGATAATTTTTTATTTCTTAAAACCAATAAAATACGAATGTTGCTATTTAAAAAAATTAAGTTGACACCCTTAAAAGGTATAAGGGATTGATTAAAAAATACTTAATAATTGATCCTATGGGATATGGAGAATTACCTCCGTGGCCTACACAGTTGTTAAAAATGTTTGAACCCCTTGGAAAATTTTTCTGCGGGCGTCCTCGTTTCTCTTTAAAAACTAATTATGGAAACTCAGGTTGAACACTTTATACAATTAACTGTGGTATTCTTTCTAAATTGGCATTTTCTCTGTTGAATTTTTAACGACTAATAAAACTAGACCAATCAATTAGATTACCTGTACACAGACTTATAATTTTTTTTTGTCATACAAGTTCTAAACCTTTCGTTGTCCTATCAAGTCGTTGTATAAGACATGTCGATAAAAACAATTTAAAACGCAAGTTTTATAAGGTAGAATTATAAAAAAATACAAGCGTATTTTATGCGAATAAAAAATTAAAGAGTCCAATATTGGTCATGTAAAGTATAATGTTTACGGGAAAGTAAAATAATCAACAGTTTTATTAACAATATATAAATAATTTCACATTCTATTCGAGTATAAATTATCACAGATTTCAATTAGATTAATTATAGGAGTGATGTAGTAAGGGAAAATGTTCTTCTCTCTGAGCCTAATTATTTTCAAGTGTAATCTAATCAGCGCTCCCATTATGTCGTCCAGCCGGTCACCGCAAGTCCGGAAGAAATCCTCGGGATTGTTACAAATTAATTTTAATATTTTCAACATGTACCGTAACAATAATGTTTTTTCGTCGGATATTAAAAAATCGAGTAGCACGTCGGCTTGACAACACACGCAATTCATGAACTGGACAAAAGTTCCAAAAGGGTTCAAATCCGGTGGCGTTGGGTCTGGACGAACCAGCACCGTGTCCAGAGCGCACAGAGCACTTTCCACCATCAGGTCGTCCCGATCCCGAAACAAAATCACTATCCAGCGGCAGAAAGGGACGGGCACGTCCACTGTGCCGGTACACTTGACGTACGAGTCTAATAGCTCAATGCATTGATCGGCCGTTCGACGTGTGGCCTTTGCGGCCGCTCGCAGACACTTGAGCACTAGCAAAACGGTTTCCTGCACCGCCCGACGACGGCCAAATTGATCGGCTCGCAAACGATTTTGGACTTGGGCCAAGCGATGTAGAAGCGACGGGACGTTGGACGTCACTGCTTCGGACAACCCGAATGCGGCGGTCGCTGTCCGACTGCAGCTCAAGGCGGCACCCGATAATTGGACGAGATTTATCCACGACCGTGTGTGCCCTACGTCCAATACCGTTCCGGGTCCGCACAAGACGAGTCGCAACTGGAACAAACACGAACCGAATATCGAATGGAACGGCATGTCGGCGGCGGCCGCGTCGATTGCGACCAATATCGACTTCCACAGTTGGACGAAATCAACGAAAACGGCTACTTCTCCGGCGTGCCAGCAGTCGGCCATAGCGCCGACGGCATCCGGCCAGCAATCGTGCAACTCCAACAGCACGTCTCGTTTCGCGTCGTCTGCGCCGTCGATGGACTGGTCGACGGCACTGTCGCAAAAGCCGTCGGGTGGCACTTGCCCGGGCTCGTTCTTATCCACCAGGATTCGTTGGACGGTCGATACAACAATACCTAGTACGGACCTGTTGGGTTCCGTTGCGGTAAACGCCGAGCATAACACGTTGATGACATTTACACGGCACGCGCGGTCCGTGCACACAACGTAAGCGTCGGCAAAAACGCAACTCGCTAGATACGCTGCGTACACGTCTCTAATACTTGTCAAGGCGTCGACTAGACATTCGGCTTTGGACAGTCGGATGAGTTCACCGCAGTAGAATGTAAAAAAACGGTCACAATTCTGTGCGATGGCAGGACACACTTGACCACGTTTCAGTTGTCTTCTATAAGTCGTTAACATCAACCGCCACGTGCTTAACGTTCGCAGTAATTTCGAGTTGCGGGCATTTATCTGGAGAAGCGACGGGAGATTCGTTGACATATGACATAAACATCCACCGGCACCGCGTAACAGGATGATCTCGATACTGTCAATGTCATTGGAGGGCTCTCGGTCTTTTTGGCAGTCCAGCGAGACGACGCTAAACAAAACATAACAAATAAATACATTTCACTAATTATTCTACTGCATAATTTTTTAAAGAAGATCAGTCTACAAGGTCACAAATGAAGTATAGAAATGAAATTTTAATAGCTCTAAAAGTTCATTTTTGAAAACTCATTGAAATCGATAACGATTAGAGGAAGTAGAACAGTTTAGAAAATTAATTAGACACTAAAAACAAATTTTTATTTCCCTTAAAAGATTAAAGAATGAGCTATTGCTTCAAATATTGTATATTTTTATTTGAGCATTAAACAACTTTTATAAACCCAAACAATGATTTTTAGTAATTCAAAAAATATTTTCAATGCATTAAAATTAACCATTAACCATCAATTAGTGTAGTGGACAAAATTTTTAAAATTATTTTTACAGTGTGATTGACAAAACTGATGAAAGAAGGTAGGTAAAAAAAAACTAATAAAATCAATTAACCAATGTTTATTTAAATATACATTTATACATAGGTTATAGCTTTGATGCTGTTTTTTACCCTGCTGTACAATAAAAATAATAAGACTTACAACTAAAATATTACTGATAAAAAAAAAGGTACAATAAATACAATGTTCTTATAATGAGGAAAACGTGTACAATTATTACAAACCAAGGGAACGAAAAATAAAAAAATAAGGAAAATCATAAAAACTATTATTTAGTTAGACAATCATAGAAATAGCATTAAAAAAAAATTAATTCTTACACTATCCACAAATATTTAGTAGTATATCCATGGGAAAATAAATTTAATGTTTGGTAAGTAGTGCGAAAAGAAAAAAATAATTATTTTGCTTATTGTCATATCATAAGGTCTTGCCGAAAAAAGAACATCAACAATTCATACTTCAATAATATATAATATTTATAACATGACTAGCTTAAGTCCCAGCTTTGTTAATTACATAATCTGTAAAAAATAATAATACATATTATATAGTGTTAAAAAAATATTTGGTAAATATTTTAATAGAACTTTTTATTCTACAATATAATTTTTAAATATTTTTTAGCTACGTGATAAAATGTAACTAGAAAGAATATATTGAAACTTATTTATAAATATATAAATGTTAGACAAGGCTTATGAAGTTAGAAAATTATGTAAGTTTTTTTTTTTTTTTGTTAGTTAAAGGATTTTGTATAAGAGGTTATATAATATTATACATATTACATAAGATATATATATATAAAGTGATTTATCACTTTTATGATTGGGGTTTGACCTACATCTTCCCCCTGATCACATCTTTAAATATAATGATTAAGCTATCGATATCAATTTTAAAAAATTATGAAATACAGTAACAACAGCAGAATGTAGCCTAATAAATATTAGTACTTCCATTTTTGGATTAAAATATAAATGTAAGTGAAACAAAAAAATATTTTTCTTGAAACAATATAAATTAATTTAATCTTTTTTATCATAACAATTCTAATAAAAATAATTTGAAATAAAACTTTAAATATTATTGAAAAAATTATATAAGTCGTATAATAAAATATAAATGACAAAAAATACTAAAGGGAACAGAATTTATAAAATTTTTAAATACAAATAGTTTCTATTAAAATAACATAAACCACATAAATAGTTAAAACATAAACCAATTGGTTTAATATTTGCAAGTTCGTCAAAAATAATTATACTATGATTGTTTTATTCAAAACAACCATTTGTTCATATTATTATAAATTATTTTCTTGTACAAAATAATATACTTAACTTAATATCAAGATGTTTTGAAATCTTTATGTCAAAATTAATTTAATAATGATTAAAATATGAAACATAATAGCACTACATAAGTACAAAAAAAATTTGATAAATTTCTTTATATTGTAATTAATTATTCACTTGTAATATAACAAAATATATCACTCAAATTTTTTTTCTTGATAAATCGGTACTTTAATAGCAATACATAGTATCTACATTTTTGAAGAGAGACATAAACATTTGGAATATATTATTTACATTTAAATTATTTTTAGTGGTTTTTTTTTAATACAATAAAGTCATTTAAAAATAATTTATTTATACACTTAAAAATGTTATTTTAAGTATAAAACAAAATGTACAATGAAACTTTATTTATTAATATATATATATATATATATATAATAATTCCTAAATATGTACTTTTTCAAAATGTCATTTTTTAAAATGGTAACTATAAGGAAATTACGAAAACGTGAACAATAAAAAGTTATTTTTGAAAAAAATATAATTACCGGGTATTGCTACTAAAGTAATAACATAAAATAACATAACTAATATTGAAAAACTAAAAATAAAAGTAAAAGAATAAAAAATCATAGAAATTTTTATCTTCATTATAATGAAGAAGACTTTTATAGCCAATTAATTCATTAAATATTCTAATATATTAATGTTATAACACAAAAAAATGTTTCATTTTTTATATAAACAATTATATTTTCTAAGCAATAATAAAAAAAAAACTTACAAAATTGAACCTACATTGTTAAACATTTACACCGAATTCTCAATAAGCAAAAATATTCAATCATCTATAATATATACAAATAAGTTTTTAGAATTATTTTTAAAACTATAATCTATTAGTGATAAAAAAAATATTTATGTGATATACTAGTAAATTTCTTTCTTTTAAAAAAATAATGTATCGATTGATAAATTTGATCAGTGTTTGAAACTTAAAGCATATTTAAAAATTTTCTAGAAATAGGTTGGGTTTACTTGCTGCTTGCCTAAATGGACGATGGAAAAAAAATATAAATATCTTTAGGAGCACAAATATCGGAACCATAAAATATGAATCAGTAGACATCTAGAGAAATTCTCAGAAAAACCTTATTTGGAAATAGTATAGTCGTCATATGGTGTTATCTAGTTAAAGAGCATATAGAAATAGTCTTCTTCTCCTAAGTTCTTATAAATTTACATAAGAAGAAAATATTTCTGTACCTTCACTAGTTTCCTTTACAACAAAATAAAACAGAATTTTAAAATTCTCTTGATAGAAAAATTTCACTTTGTAATATAATATAAATCAAATAGTCAGTTATAATAATCAAATTAATGCTCAACAATCAATTAATTGTATAATATACACAGTTAATAACATAAATAATATGTTAAATACTTTCATTTCTCATTAAAAAAAAAACACACCTAAGACAAATTATAATCTAAATACATAGCTAAATAATTTTTATGTACAGTAATAAAAGTTTTGGAGATGGGGTAAATAACATGTTTTTATGATTAAAATTTTGCTATGATTACTATAAAAACTTTTAATAATTTAGTATTAAAAAAAACATACATTTCATCAGAATCAGAGTCATTAATCTTTTGTTTTTTAACAACAACACCATCTATAGAGTTTCCATCATTATGTTCTTCAGAAACGTCAGGAATGTCTTTAACAAGTTCTCTAAGGAATTCAAGACGACTATCAGAGAGAATGCATTGTTTCCTAAAAAACAAAAAAAAAAAAAAATGAAAATTCAATTATAATTATTATTCAAATTTAAACATACAAATGAGTTAGAGTTAAAGTCTTGGCATTTCTCTGCATTGTTATATCACCTGCTTTATTTAATAGTGAAGCTACAAAAAGTTCTAATGCTCGAGGTAATCATATTGTAAAGGAAATTTAATAAAAATAAAATTAATAATAATAAACAATATATGTTATTAAATGGAAATTGATGTCATAATGTTCCTATTTAAATGGAAGCAGGCAAAGGCGGAAGAAAGAGGTGATACAAGTAGAGAAATTAATATTAGTTTAATGGATTAATTTAATACAATACATTTTAGGTAAAATATTTTTTTAAATAAAATTTAGTAATGTTAAATTAAACTATAAAAAGGATATAAATCATGACTGGAACAGGCAATGCTACTTTTCCAATATCATCATCAATCCTCATAATTTTTTTAATGCGACCCTGTAAATTAAAAAGATTTTATAAAAATGTATATTTATATTGATATTAATTTTTAATATCAATTTTTGTCAGGTAATTTTTACCAGACAAAAAAAAAATACATACAAAGTAAAATAGTGAAATATTAGCTTAAAAATTCTTTTAAAAACACATACATAAACAGTTGTTTTATAAAATATAATTTTACTTACTGCTGGAAATCTGGAATTGTATTTTCTTTTCTTACTAGGCATTTAAATAGTATACAGAACTAATTGTGACTAGTTCAAATTGTATTTAAGTTAATAACAGAATTAAAAAAAAAAAAAGAATGTACAATAATTTTTATATAATTGGAGGATTAATTAGCCACGACAAGAAATAAATTAATCTCATGTGTTGATGTAATATTTATAAATATTATTATTTTTCATCCAAGAAATATAATTACTAATTTTAAAGAATTTACGTACGGCGGCTTATAAAGAAAACTTTTTATTATTTAACGTTTCTCGTGTAGCGATAAGAAAAACAGTCAGCGGGCTTAAATCCCTTACTATCAATCACGTTTTTATCATGATAACAATCTAAAATAAAGTAAGTAAAACGTTTCAGCCTTCAGGCAGTTTGAAAAAATTTTGTTCAACAAATGGTTGAAGTTCGAAGAACGTTATCATCATTATTATTTAAAACAAATAAAGAAGAAAAGTGCAGTTGTTGCCATAGAAACGTTGTATTCAAAATTCAGTGAATTTTCCCAATAAAAGTTATTTATCAAAATAATAATAAGACATGATGACAATTATAGATTAATTATTGACATCCGAACCGTATTTAGGTCAAAAAATTAATTGACTAAAACAAAATAGATTTAAAAGTCGAAATAAAAACGAATTATTTATCGAAATGTTTAAACCTCCCCAATACCTTATTGATAAATATTAAAATCCAAATTAATATGTAAATATAGTCAATTATTTCTTAAAATATATGATAATTTGTTTCTCGAATAATCTTTTTTTCAATGTTAGAAACATTGAAAATGGAAAAAACTTGTTGTAAAGGAATTGTAAAATAAATATCTTCTTAAAAACTTCAAAGATTTTATCACCATATGAGCTAATTTACACTATAATAATACTATGTGTAACAAGTCATAAAAATTAAGGTTATATTTTGAATTCTTATTATGAAGGGATTGAATTTTTCAGGTACTGTAGACATGTTTGTGACTAATTTTTTACTAAAAACTTCCCTAAAATAAAATAATTTACTACATGATCTCTTAAATTCAGAACGATTATTTTTTATTAACTATATTAATAAGAATATATTGTAGGTTCTAATTTAATTTATTTTAAAGTACATAAGAATTTAAGAACAAATTTAGAATTGAAATTAATATTGTGTTGATGTATGAATGTTGCTAAGTTCAATTATCCTTTTAAACACAATGGTTGGATTTTCAAAATAAAACTTACTTTTTATAAGAATGTTTCAAGATTTGAACGCTTCCTGTACAGGGGAAAGTTGTTCGATTTAAAAAGAGTATGTTTGATGAAAGGATGTAGGCGGTTAAGGGTTAGATTTTCAAATAATTTATATAAAATAAAAGATAAATACTTAAGTTATTTATATTTAAAAACAATTAATTTGTTTCAAAATCGTTGAAAAGTAGTACTTTTGGTCTAAGATTTGGTTGTTACGCTAATTTTGGTGGAAAGGAGTTTGCGCCTCTCGAGTCTCCCCCATAAATATACCCCAGAGTTTGACTTAAAGTTATGACATAAATTAATTATTCATAATTTAAAAGATTCAGATTTATTAGAATATTGTTTGAAATTGGTATTTTAATTTAATTTTTTTTTAATGTTTTTACTTTCTAATATCCTACAACTAGATTTTCTAAAAAAAATAGTAATATCATTATTATTAAAAAAAAAAACAAAAATTCTGAGGATCTCTCACTGGACGGTTCCTTAATCAAGTAGTTTATGTCATTATTATTTATGTGTTTGTCACAAATAATCAAGTCATTATTATTGTTTTCAACTAATTGTAATATCCCTTTAATTAACAAATAAAAAGATTTTTAAAAAATCATTATAAATAATTTTTTACTAATAAATATATTAGTAAAAAAATCCAGCACAGTCGGGTCGCGGCACAGTGGGGACGTGGCATAGTTGGGTCCAGTATGATGATATCTAACAGTGATTAAAATCACTATTATAAAAAACGCTTTGATGCAAATCTGTAGATAATATTTAATTTTAAAAAATTGGTGGATTATTTCAAAAGCGATATGATCTCCTATTACCTTATTTATATTTCCTGATTACAAGTTTTGTAATTTATAAGTGTAATATATGAATATATATATATATATATTTATTATATATAAATATAAAAAGGGAAATGGTTTTATTTAAAAAAAAAGTATGTCGTATGAAAGATGTATATAAAAACTACTTTTCATGAAAAAATTGTATTGATCCATACATTTTTCAAAAAGTTATAGCATAATAAAGTTAAAAATGTAAAATATAAAATCGAGAATTTTCACACAAAAATAGCATTCGGTAGCCATTTTCAATGTGAAGACAAAATAAAGTCCGAAATTTTATTTTCTTTAATAAAGTATACCACATTATAACTTCGCATCAAAGCTAAAATATAGGAATATTAAGTTGAAACAGGGGAAATTTATTCTAACTAGCCTATTTCCTTAATACTTATTTATGAAGATTGTATAATGTATGATCGTTTTACCCATACTACTGTATGATATTTTTGAATCATATAACAATTAAACACATTTTTACAAAATTTTAACTTTCCATTGAGAAATAAAGAATTTACAATTTAATTAATATATTTAGTTTACATTTTTTAATATAAAACAAGACGTCAAATCGTTTTCATAACGTTTTAACTACCAATAATTTATTGGAATCGTAAAACGTGAACGATTAATTAAAAATGTATAATAACAACAAATAACACATAACTTTAAACGAAATAAAAGACCTAGCTAACTAAAAATGAAAAAAGAAACTAAACAGTAAACGAAAACATATTGATGATTCGTTTTAACATTTAAGGTATAATATCGGTTATTTTGAGAAAAATTAACTACTAGCAAACCAGTGTTTCTCAACATAAAAATTAAGTGAGAGAAAGTCTCACATGTATGCAATAATAGGTTAATTTCTAATAGGTAAAAGAATTATTTATTATGTTTATAATTTATGAAACGCAAAAATAAAGACATTTGAATACCGAATAACGTAAAACATAAATCCTTAATGTTTTAATTATTTAAAATATATAACGTAATAATACTGTAACATATTAATTGTCATAACGTAAAAACAAAACAAATAATTTTGAGTCAAGCTCTAGTAGAGATTGATATGCGATAGTGATTAACATTACTTTAATAAAATATTTCAATTTGATTTTGTTATAGAGTAAGACAAAAAAAAAAAGAAGAAAATTGAACATCTTATTTGAAAATTTTGTTTTAAGATTAACTCACAAGAGACAAATCATCGGGGCCTATTTTTTTAAATCATGAAATAAATTTAAAAAACTTTAATTTGATAAAGGTTAAAAGTTGTCAGACATTACAAAACATTTTCAAATATAAAATAGAAAATGAGAGATGCGTTTAAACATTTTATGTACTTTTTTATCGGATTCTCATAAAAAGCATATCAAAAGAGATTGTCTTCATTATTACTGATAAAAATATCGTTAAACCGGAGTTTTTAAAGAAGAAATTTTAAAATAGCAAGGAAGTTCATCAAAGGATTGAGATGTGGATATTAGCCTTTGAAGAAAAGAGATTAAGGGTAATCAGAAGTAAAACGGAATATACCAAACACATTATGGTAAGATCAACACCATCACAATTTTTTATCAAAGCTGTAAAACAAAATTTTTGTGTAAATTTTGTACATAAATAAAAAAAAACTTTTTAACAGTATTTTAAAAAATATTATATTACGAGTAAAAGTATTATGAACAAGATATAGTGTCCCACCAGATTTTTTTAATTTTAACATTATTTTATATATTCAAAGTAATAAATCACGGTGGGACACCTGTATACATATACAGGTGTTCAGTAAGGAATCAGGTCATTTGTTATAAACATACAAAATGAGAACAATAGAAATCCGTTTCTGTACTCACTGAACACCTGTATATGAAAATTTTGTGTAATTTAACCATCTAAACCTTTAATATTTTACAATTAATTAATTATTAATAAATATTAATTTATTGACCAGACATTATCAAAATTATAAAATCTTAATAAATAAAATTAACGATTAATAAACTTAAATTTAAAATATTTTATTTAATATTCAAATCGAGGACATGTATAATACAATTTTATCTAATGTGCATACGAATCATATAGATATTTTATGCAATAATAAAATTGATCTTAAAATTACAACAATAATATTATACGAGGAACAAGTAACTAATTAGTAATAGAGCATTGCACAAATTTTTGATGCCTCTTAGAAGCTTATTAATGTGTTTTTAAAAAAGAATTAATTTTTTTAATAATTGTATTTAATATTCTTAAGGATAATTATTATATAACAACATACATCATCTCTGTACAATACAAAAGATAAGTATATCTAAAATAGAAAAAAAAAAAAGACTTATAATTTATATTGTTAATTATACAAGTGAAGAAAAGAAATGCTAAGTTTAATATATAATTCACTTAATAACTTTAAGGGCACAATACTTATTTTAATAGTAATATAATAAATTACCCTATTAATACAATAATCATAACACAATATTTTTGAACAGGCATTGCTAGAACATTAGTTTTATATATGTCCCCGATTCAAATGTATTTTCTTAATAAAAAGATATTATAATTTTAAAATAATAGAAAATTAAAATATAATGTATGATATCTTAATCCACATAGTAATAATTTTTTCTATAATAATAGACTATTACATATGTTACATATTAGTAAGAGCACCTTATAAATATTCATTTAAATATATCACTTATGAATTATTTAACTCGTGTGGCTATAAGCTGTATTAGTATAAGGACCACTATATACTGAACTTCCACTTGATGATAGTGTTTTCCTATTTCTTCTTGTCAACAATATAAGAGCAGTTATTACGGTTAAAAGCATAAGAATAAGTCCAGCTATCGCAATACTTATGGCAAAGTTGCGTTGAGAAATACAAATACTGTACGGATCATCTGAAAGCTGTACAAAGAAAAAAATTATTATAAATAATATGCAACCAAATAAATAAATAATATTTTACGTATAAAAAATTTTTTTTTTAAAAGCATAATGTATATTCTATTTTGAAAATTAAGGACTAGACCTCATACATAGTGTTTCATTTTGGGAGAAGTGGATGGTCCAACAATGTTTAAAATAAAATATTTAATTAAATGATAAATTATAACTATCATTTTAATTTTTTTTAATCATATCAAAGATATATGATTAAATTTGTGTTATCCTTCTTGTGTATACTAAAAACTTCAATGAAATATCAATTTTATAAAAAAAAGATGTTTTTCTGTAGAAATAAAAATTACTGAAGAAATAGAATTTATAGAATGGAAACCAAAAAATAAATAAAATCTGTTAGAATCTTTTCAAGGTGCCTAATAACCTAGAATATTTTATTTATGTATAACATACCTTTTCTCTTGCTACTTGATCCATCTGTTCAGGACTTCCACTATCAGCAGCCTCATTAACATACAAGCCACTATAGACTTCAATTGTTGCAGGACTCTCATCTTCTGCTAATTGATCATCACGACGAATACGTTTCTTATTACTGCAGTTTGGTGGCTATAAGAAAATTCATAAATAAGACTGATAAATAATTTCTGATTTCTAGATAAATAATGTATACATAATTTACTTGTTATAAATAAATTTCTCAATTAAATGTAAACTATAGGTTTAATTTTTTAAAATGTTGCAATTTTAAACTTTAACTCTTTTGTCCAAACATTACAGATTTAAAATGAAATTTTAATATTTTTACCGTATTTGTACAACCACCAATAGCTTTCATACATAAATGGACATGACATTGATAATAAACAGATGTTGTATAAGGAAACTTATGAGCTTGAAAACTAACAACAGCAGTAGTTTTATTTTCACTGTATTGGAATTGTCCCATTATTTCTTCTTCAATAGAGCATCTAGAATAATATTTACATCAAGACATTACAAATTTATCATTAACATTTATTGACCTTCTTATACAAACCCATATTTATCAATAAGCCGTTGATCACCCCAACCAAGCCCATCACGAACTAAACAGTCAGTAATAAATAATCCAAAAGTATCTTCACTATTAATTGAAATCACCATAGTTAATGGATCACCAATTTGTACATTTTCTGCAACATTGGGTTTCACTGTTTTACCAGAAAATATTTTCATAGTACATGTTGGAAGTTTAGCTCCTTCAAGCATAGAAATTCCTTCTGGTGTGCTAAATATTCATAAAATAAAGTTTAAAAATAGTAATCACTAAAATTTTTAACAAAAAACTATAAATTATAACATTGTTGTTTTGTGTAACTTTTTTTTATTAAAAAAACAATATTTTAAAATACCTTAAAATTTTTACATTATTAACTATAAAAATATATTGTGATACCACAGTAGCAAAAAAAAAGGTATAATCAATGTAAATTTTATGCATATATTATAAATTATATATTTAAGAAACTAAAATTCAAGTATAAACAATTATCTAGTATATTAGATAATTGTTTATCTGGTATCGAGATAAAATTCTCTACCTTATATTCATAACATTGGTTAATAATTGTTCAGTAGTTTGATATTTGCATCGGACATGAAAACCTTTTCCAAGGTTTGTCACTAATTTTCTATGTGGTTGTAGTACTATTGTATTGAAGTATTCTACAATTCCATCATTCTGAAATACACTTTTCCATTAAACTATGGGTAATTAATTTTATAATCATTTTAATACCAAATATGTGCTCATTGTATTGCATGATCTCAAGGGGAGCCTATAAACAGCAGGACTCTTTTGATCATTAAATTCAGTCATACAACTTGAATTTTTAGCTAATCCTTTTGGATAAATTATTCCAGTGAAAGCTCTTGATTTAGGACTAATGTTAATACGTATTTCTTTTTTATTACATTCTACTGAAATATCTTTAGTTATGTCATCATCAAAATCTATTAAATAAAGAAATTCAAAACTATTAGAAACAATACATTAAAATATCAAATATAAAATTTAACAGGTTAATTTACTTATTTATACAAAATTATATAGGTGAAAATTTTTTTATACCTAGCATTGGTTCATTTAGTGAATTATATTGAGCACTAACACACCATACTGTCCACTACAAAAAAAAAAAAAAAAATGAAAACAATGTTGTTTACAACAATATATTATGTAGTTATTTTTATTAAAAAAAAAGAAAAATTAGGTCATTAAAACTTACTGAGAACAGAAAAATAACCCGTGTCACAATCATATTTTTCTAAAAAAAAAAAAAAAAAAATAGAGAAAATGATTACTCAATATTTATTATTATTGTTAAAACTTATATTTATTGTTATTCTTTAAAGGTAGGATGAGAAAACCTATATTTGGCATTATAAGAAATTAAATAATGAGGCTTATGAATCAAGGCATGACTTATTTTCATAAGCACAAATTAGAGGGCTTAGCTCCTTTAACTTTCAAATTAAGTTTTAGTTTAGGGTACATTATAATAAAAACCCCCCAAGAAATTTATTAAAATCTCACTTATGCTTGTTTTCATCTAAGTTATAAAGAACATTATCAAATCTAAAATTAACTTCATAAATTATAAAAACTTTTATTAAATATTAATAATTATTAAAGCCACAAGAATTTTTTATTATTTTTTTATTGTAGTTATAAAGATATTTATTCAAATAAATATTATTATTAATACATATATTATTTTATTCTTTAACAATATAAACAAAAAATAAAACTAAAATTATCACTCTAGAAATCATTTAATAATATAAAACCTTGAACACCAACATCCTTGAAACAAATTTTATTATATTTTCGTTAAAAGTTAAATTGCTAAAGGTAATAATTTAGGATTTTCAAGTGTTAAGAATACTTATTTTAAAAATATTTAACTTATATGAAATGTACAGCTTTGTCCAGTGTTCCCTAGAAAGGAATGCACTAGTTGCATAATTGACTATACAGTTACTTTGAGCATGTACAGTTACATACACGATTTAATGTGACTACAAAATAATATAAGTAATACTCACCGTTCTCGTGCCGTTTGGTCAATTAACTGGAACAATGTGATCAAAAGTTATCTAAGTTAAAAGTTGATTAATTACTTCGACTCATAAGAAGCATGTTAGAACAATGTCAGAATAGCTGGTGACTTGATTCAAGTGACTAAGTTATCGAAGGAGAACGTACAACAGGTGTGCGCCTCTTTGATGGTCACTATTATCATTTAACTAGTCAAGATAATCATGACGTCACTTATACCTACTACCTCAGTACAATATAATATTTAAAAAATGCTACGCTTAAGAGTACGATCTTATATAAAGATAAAATGAAAATAATTCGAGTATTTCACCGAGTTTTAATTTATAATTATATAAATTGTTTTAAGTAGAAACAATATAGCTAAATTATCAAATGTAAGTGTACTAGTGGGGGTATATAGGTACAGTGCGATGATGTCGTACGATTATACCTAACATTTTTTTATGAAGTTCCACCGGGGGCTTTGTACCTTAGTTGTAATAGTTCACTTATAATACATTACTAATGTTACCACACGAACCGCCTCCACATTGTCCGTTCACCGTAGGCGAACGCCTTATTCGGAAGAACCTTCTCGTAATATCGAAATTGCGTAACGTCAAAAAACAATCATTATATTTATTATTTTGCGAATTTTGTCGTCACTAATATTATAAATTACTAACTCTTTTTAACTATGAGAAAATGCCTGTATATCAATTATATTCTATATGCTAATACAGTGGTCATTATAAATATATATAATAATATCTACAAATATGCATGTTGCACTGTTAAATTGCAAGTTAAGGTCGTTGCCAAATTCAAATGTATTTTATAAACGGACACGGACGGAGGCGTATAGTATGCAAATAAAAAAAAGTGAGAAGTAGAAATCACAATAAAATATAGGAGTATAAATTGTCTGAGTATAGAGAAAATTTATATTTGTAAACGCGAAATTAATAATTATTTAAATGCTATCAAAACGGCAAAAGTAAAAGCGTTTAATATTTTCTTCATCACAATTACAATGGTTTATTTTTGTGCAAATGAACAAATAACAATGCCATTTCCTTTTACGGAAATGATTATTACACGAAAACTGCAATATCTTTTCAAGGCTCGTAGTTAAAAAAATGATTTAACATATGGTTTAGATTTTTTTATGTATGCATAATATTAAACATAAATATATATATGTATATATGTCAATAAGAGACTTGAATGCTAGTTAACAAATATACAAATAATGCAAAATTCATGTTAGACAAAAGTTTTCATAACTAAACTATTTGATAAAAAATAATTAAATCTATTGATTAACTAAACGTAAAACGTATTCATTAATGATTAAAGTAATCGATAGCCACGGATATATTACCGCGGTCGTGTCATAAAATTCTCATCATTTCATAATTTAAGTTCTTCTACAATTATTTTTTTTTTTTAATTTTGAAATTTTGACCATTCGAATAACTTTCTTATATTAACGCTTTTCACTCTTCAGTGCTCAAAATTAAAGCTCCCACCGACATTTAGGGATTTGACTTAAAGGAGATGCTAAATTGTAGTCCAAATAAAAAAAGGGACTTCATCCCCCTCCGTCCATTTTCACTTTTACCACTAAGCTGCCCTATATATTATGAAATTATTAATTAAAACTATAAAATACTAACTAAAAAAGGGCACTCCACATTCCAAAACGACCCCATTAATGATTAAGAAATTGAACTGGCTAATTAAAATATTATTCAATAAAAGCAAAACATAGTTGTTAAGACATTGGTAGTCTAAATAACAAAAATGTCTATCCAATTACTATTGAAATTATATGTTTGTATGTTATAATATATATTATGTTATTGAAATTAAAAAAATATAATGTAATAACAAAAAGTTAATATTTAACATTTTTTTTTTTTGTAAATTGGAGGAGTTTGAAGATGGATCAATTAGAAAAGTAATAAATAGGGTGGTTAACACTTCTAATGTTATGAAAAGTTTTGTACTACATACTTTTTTCAAAATTGGCATCTGGGCTACACCCCTTTGATGTTAGCGTCTTTATTTTCGTAGCGTCACTAAATAGAAACAACCAATTTTTTACATGATTTTTTCTAAATTAAAAAAATGATACTCATTAATTAATTAATTAATGGGAAATTAATTTTATTAAAGATCCAGGATCAGTATATCAATATATGAGTATGTATATAAACATTAGCTGGTCCTAATATTTGCTATTAGCCTCTATATGAGGTCCAGTGTTATTTTAGTGATTGTTCAACTGATCAATCTAGTTCCTCATATTGTATCAACAATTTTTATTTAAAAATACAGAATTTGTGTATATTGGAGAGACTGAAATCTCACCATAATTATGAGATATCCTATATTTTTGTTCATTATATTTTGGAAAGTGAAGAGCATAAGTCTTGCAATTTTTGAAGTAAAAATCCTATTTTCTATTAAATTTACCTTTAATGACTTTCAAATTACTGCCTAGAATAGCTGTTTAAATCAAAGTTTATTAATAGAGATGGTTTGCAGAAGTAAATATTCTTATTTTTTTTTTTTAGTAAAAGTTTTATATAAATCAATTGATCCGTAAATTTTATATATACCACTATGTAATTAATAAACTAAATAAATAAAGTCACATACAAGGAAGAACAATTTAATAATTATTTAAATTAGAACAAAAAATATTAAGAAATCTTTTATTTAAATTTTATCAAAGTCATCATTATATCAAGAATTAAACAAATTAAAATATTACGTGAATAGTAAATCCACGAGTATAAAATATTAGTTAACTAATAATAAATTTTACTAATATTTGACATCAAAGTCTGGGAGTTGAAAAATAGTGAGATGCTGTTTCCAATAACAAAGATGGCGTAATTTCAGTTAAATGCTTTATGTAAGTTTTAGTCGTTTCTAACAATTCATCATACAAAACCCTGTAATAGAAACAGATATAAAAGAAATCAGAAATATATATTAACATTTCAGATGATAATGATCAGTAAAATCAGCCTAAATTCTACTATAATAGAACCAAATATAATTTAATTTTAGAGCAGTTTCTACTTTAATTAAATAATACTCAAAACACAAGACATTTTTATAGGTTCATACAAATTTTTTGCTTAGGCAAGTTATTATTTTACAAAGGATATATTTCAGACAAATTTTACTGTATACATTTTTTTATGTTTTATGTAAACTGAAACCTACCATTGTGGCTGATTCACATAATTGAGTATTGATCTTGGATGAAAAAATAAATCTTCATCAGCGGCAACTGGTTTATACACACCAGTGTAATGAAGATATGCAGCGTTTCTAAAAAGTCCTGATGCAATACATTTAACAATTACTCTTGTGTCACCTAAAAAATAAAGGACTTAATTAAATGTTAACTTTATTATTTGCAATGTGCTAATTAAAAAAAAAAAATTGTACTTAATAAAAATGGAGTAAATATAATAATCCAATTCATGGATCAATCAATTAAATTTTTTAATTTAAATTGAATCAGCAACATAACATTATCAACTATTTTAAATGTATTAAAAGTTTTCTAACTAGCACATATAAAACATAATAAAATTACTAGCCTTCACAAGATTTAAGAGGTATTTTATGTTTTTTCATTAAATCAATTAGGTGCATACGAATTTTTTTGGCCTTGCATAATTCGTTATAGTTGATAAAGTAGCGATGGCACCACTGTTTGCTAGTGGCTTCATTATGATCGAATCCATTGTAAACATTTAAAAGAGTAATTAAATCACCTTCAGAAACTTCAAAATGTCTATGCTGTATTTTAGCTTTTTGAATAGTAGCTCCATATTTAGGACGTACAAAAGCGTCATTTAACTGGAGCATAGCTAATATTGACACAATTTCAAATGAACAGCCCATTTCACCTGATTTTATTAACATTCTTGAATGTTTAGCAGGGAGTGGTAGCTCAGACATAATTGTTCCAAAATTGTTTGTTAAATTTCCATATTTATCAATAGCTTCTAGAGCTTTTAACATTTCTAAAGCAAAAAGCAAATTTTTAGCAGGAGGTGGGCTAAGAAATGGAAATCTTAAAACATTATCTATGTAAATTGCTTTAAGCTGCATAACTATATCAGTGAGATCAGATCGCATCATTTCTGGTGGGGTAGCATTTGTTAAGTTATTGTAAGACTCTTTAGTATAAAGCCTGTTCAAAATAAAAAGCAATTCAAAATAATTTATGAAAGTTTTTTAAGACTTAAAATATGAAATATACCTATAAACTTTTCCAGGACGTTCTCTTCCAGCTCGACCAGCTCTTTGTATAGCTGAAGCTTTAGAAATAGGAACAGTGATAAGTGAATCAGCTCCAAGTATAGAATTGAACCATTTTAATTTAACAAATCCACAATCAATAACTGAAAATAAATAAATAAATAATATTTAATTTTAAGTAATTAGTTATAATTTTTTGGGTTTAACTTAATTATTTTGTTAATGACAGATTACTCGTTTCTCATCAACATTATGACTACACTAGTGCCTGATCAGTACAAATGTCCCTACAACCTAACTAAAAATATGTAGTGTTATAAATAGAATGTTACATGCTTATTTTAAATTTTCAAAACACTTTGAAGGTGATTGACGTTTTACCACTTTTGCGGCAACTCAATCTTATTTATTAACTTAATTAATTATAATAGTATTATTATTTTCATTATTATTATTAATAGAGTTCTGTGTACAATTGCTGCCATCGACTTACTTGGTTTAACATTCAACATCTCAAGAAATACAATCAGGTTATAATTACACATAATATCTATATAAAAATAAACACTTGTTATCATTATAAATTATATAGGACCAGCATAGCCCCATTTAGGAACAACATAAACAACTGTAAGGACTCTTCTAGCAGGAAAGCACGTTGCAAATTATTTTATAACTTTTATTTTAAATTATCTTAATTATTTATTATATTAACATTTTTAACTCTATAAAATAAAATAAATACCATAGACAATTCCTGGTATAGTAACTGAAGTTTCTGCAATATTAGTAGAGAAAACAACTTTGCGATAACCTCTTGGCACAGGACGAAATGCTTTTAATTGTTCATCATTAGTTAATGTTCCATGCATTGGTACAGGAAATAATTTAACTCTAAAAAAAAATTATATTATAATAAAAAATTAGTAACTTTTTGTTTTGTACACACACTTGTCTTGTGTATTTTTTATGTTGTAATCATCTAAAGTGTTAACTGCTTGCATAACTTCTTCTTTTCCTGTTAAAAATACTAAAATATCTCCTGATTGATCTACTTGATGAATTTTTAAAACAGTGTTTATTGATTCATCAATATAATTAGCCACGGGTTCTAAAAAATAAACCAAAAATAAAATTAGATTGTGCACCAATCAATCAAAATGAATGAGATTAAAATTAATAAATTATAAAATATTAAAAATAATAAATAATAGAAAAGTATAGGGAAGAGAAGAAAAAGTTGTGTATAGATAGTATTTATAGATTTGGAGAGAGTGTGTAAAAGAATACTGAGAGAAGTTTTAAAGTGGGTATTAATGAGAAAAAGAATATAGGTGCAGCATCAATCATGGATAATATTTGAAAACATAGACTTAGATGGTTTGATCATGTTATTAGAAGAGAGGAATTAGAAGTTATGGAAATGAATGTTGAAGGAAGAAGAGGTAGAGGAAGACCAAATAAGAGACGGAAGGATGTTATTAAATATAATAAGAGAGCAGTTGATGTGTGCATAAATGATATGGAAAATCGTGTCAAGTGTAAGTTTAAGATTAGATTGGCTAACCCCAAGTAATGGGATTAAAGGCGAGGAAAAATAAAACGATAAAAGTAACATAGAAATAAAATTTTTAATTATATTATTGATATTTTTAATATCAAAAATATGATTGCTGGAATTTTTCTGGATTATTTCTATTAATTTTACTTTAATGTAATAATAACTACACTAAAATGGAAGTCAATCTCAAATTTGATCACAAACACAAGGTTTATTTATAGCCTTAAAAAATATATAACCTTTTAAATAAAATATTTTTGTAGGATAGGATCTTCCTTCTATGCCTAATATTGCAGCTGTGTCATCATCAGGATTCTCAGTTTGATTAAAATTAAAAAAAGACTTTAGTTGCAGAGAATCCATAGTAGCAGATAATATTACCAGTCTTAGTGTAGGTCGTTTCTATAAATAAAAAAATATTAGCTAAATTGAATTTCTTTATTTAATCTAGTGAGGCACTGGGTGCCCCAACTCTGAGCTTAAGTAAACTTAGAAAATGAATATTTTCTTTTCTTTTACTTTTAACACTTTCTTCAACAATCCCATTAATATATCTGTTAATAAACTTCTTTCGTGTATTTCATCCAATATAATTACAGAATAATTGATTAATAATGGATTACTTGTCATTTCATTTAATAAAATACCTTCTGTCATATACTAAGAAAAACAAAATTCAAATTTATTTTATTAATAAATTAATAATTAAAAAACCTATGTAGTCTATTTTTATGAAAATTTACCTTAATTTTAGTATCAGAATCACAACAATTATCAAACCTCACAGAATAACCTACAGCTTGACCAAGGTTAGTTTTTTGTTCAAGAGCAACTCTTGTTGCTAATGTTATGGCACTAATTTTTCGAGGTTCTGTTACAGCAATTGCTTTATTGAACTGACACAATCCACTTTCAGCAAGCATCTAAAATATTTCAAAAAAAATCAAAGCCAAATTTTCAAAATTATTTTAAACATTAATCATAAGTTTTACTAAAAGTTGTAATAATCAAAATCATACTTGGGACACTTGGGTACTCTTTCCGCTACCAGTAGAACCCACTAGTATTAATGTTTGAAACTTTTCACAGAGATATAAAACTTCATTGCGGTATTTAGTAATTGGTAATTTATTTCTTTGACTTTGCAAATCTAATGACATGTATGGATTATAAACAAATGTTGAATTGATTCCAGATTCAAAATTTGAATCCTCTTCTCCATAACTAGGAGTTTCATCTATAAATTAATGAAATTAAATATAATTAAACAAATTTTATCTATAATGCCTAACAAAATATTTTCATTAGGCATTAAAATATTTGAAAATTTATGATATTATACATGAAACTGACAACTGACCAGGATAATAACACAAAAATTTCAATTATATTAATTTTTATTTAAATAAAGTTAAAATTTGTAAATTAAAGTGTATATATAAGTAAAACATTCTAACAATAACAAACCTTTGTTTTTGAATCGAAAACTGCTCATATTTTTTTATATTCGTAATCGATGATGCTTACACATTATGTACAAAATTAAATATTTTTATTAATTACCTATGTTTTAGAAAAATATTTCATTTTTAATATTACAAAAAATGTATTCTGAATTAATCTTTAATTTTGAAATTCCAAATTATTGATAAAGATATTGAACTTTAATGATAAGAAATCACAGAATTTATTTTGATTTTCCATGAAAAAGACTATAACGAAATTATATTTTTTAAATTTTACTTTTTTTTAGATTTGATGCAAAGATAAGAAAGTGTTGGTTTTTTATGGTGTTTTTTTTATGTCTATCCATGAAAATTCTCAACTCTTACTCAGAGGCGTCATTTTAGATTATAAAAGACTAGAGCAAATTTTTGATGGACAATCATTTAACAAAGTAGCTTACTTCGCATACGATTTATACTAATAATATAACCACAAAACCAATTTAATATCTAAAAAAAATTACTTTCAAAAATAGATATTTGACTTTTCTTTTTTATTTATAATTAATTAAAATTAATAAAAGACCTTTTATAACCCTAAACCCTCCCTAAAAGGGAAGATCACATCAGCGGACAAAATCATAGATGAATCTAGACCCGTAATATTTCTGAATACTAGTATATTATAGGATATAATTATACAGAATATAGTACTAAATATTTCAATTATAGCATCTATTTATGCACTAAGAGTTTCATTGAAATGATTCATTTCGATATTTATTAGTATTATTTATAAATACCAAAAAGTTATAACAAATTTAAGTAAATATAACAATATAAAAAACAATGATTCTTACACCAAAATTATATTTTTTGTCTAACTTGGGATTTTCTAGTAGATACAAAAGTCATTGAGACAAATATTTTTCTTTAAATTAGTAAGTAACATATTTGTGCAGAAGTGAATATTTTGAATCCCGCCTGTGGACAGGTTAAAGGTCAGAATTTCAATTCATTAATATTAAATGAAAGATAAATACTTAAGGTATTTATATAAAAAAAAAAATGATTTTATTTCATTTATTTTTAAAAAGTTATAGTAATTTTAAGAAAAAAATGAAAGAAAGATCAAAATTTATGGAGTTTAAAAATTGTAATTTTTGGGGGATTTCCTCCATTTACAGGGAACCGTGGAAATTTTTTCAAATTTTAATGTAATGTCTTTGATAAAATACGATTTGTGATATTTTGACGTATTGTTGAAAGAAATCAGTCTGGCGAGTGCTGAGAAAGTGGCGACAGACATAAAAAAAAAGAAAACATCATAGTACAATTAAAACCTTCTAAGCACAAAAAAGACACATTTTTATCTTAGCTTTGATGCAAACCTGAGAAGATATTAGTTTTGATTTTTGTTGAAATCAAACTTTTTTGTAGAGTGTTCAAAAAAAAAAGATTATTGTGCATTACGGTCGGTCGTCATAGACTCAATGACATATCATTGGAAAGAATTGTAAGAGCTGAGTTAAATATATGACAGTCATAAAATAAAAACGCATCAACGTAAAATTAATACTTTCTCAGCTTCGCATCGATGCTATAAAAAGAAATTTTATTGCTGTGATACTTTTATGTTATTATTATTGACAGAATGCTTTAAAATATTGGCTGCTATTATAGTATTAAATGATCTTTCGTGTATGGTATTGTGATTTAGTTAAACATAGCATCTAAAAAATATAAAAATAAACACACGTGTAACTAGTAAATATATTTGCATAAAATATACAGGGGTTCAAAAATTAAGGAAAAGGGTTCCCATTTTTAGTAATAATTGACTAGTTTTTATTTACTTATTGAAAATGTAAGACACTATGCGTTGTGCCGACCTTGTTATTTATAATGAAACTTGAAACCACAAGAAAAAATAATTACAAATGAAAGTAATAGGAGCGAATTCAGAATCCTCCATTATCTAATAAATAATATAGTGTTCAAAATTAAGGAATTTTTTAAAAATAATGATAGCAACAGAAACCCGTACCTTACTTACTAAACACACACACACACACACATTTATATATATTACCAATCCGCCATATTTATTATTATTTTTAATATATTATTTTAACCTGTTCAGGACAGGCGGGACGTCTGAGTCCCTGCTTAAAATTGCTTATAACAATTAAATAGTTTATATTATCGTGTTTAAGCAATTTTCAAGCAGGGAATCGAACGTCCCGCCTGTCCTGAAAGGTTTAAATAAAAATATTTTCATACAAAAGTGTATACATTTTATTTTATTAAGTTAAAATCATAAAAGTTTAAACATATTTATTAAGATAGCTGGAAAAGAAAAAATATGGCGAGTTCAAACATTTTTGTGTAAATTATAAATAACTATTAGTTATTGCACTACCGATTAAACTCTGAACTCAATAAAGTATTGCATCACATAAATAAAGATATATAGTAAAATTATAAAAAAAAAAGGCTTACTGAGCTATATCAATTTACTATTTAACACTTAAACGTCATTTAATAAGTTATATAAAAATTAATCTATTAGTGTTACAGTATTTAAATGTTTATCAAGTACATGATCATGCTTTATAAAATATTATACTTGTTAAACAGCTATATTTTTAAATATTAGAAATTAAGCATAACATAATATTTATTAACATTTATTTATTGTAACTATATGATAGAGTGTACTAAATTTGATGTGATATTTCATAAAAATCTTTTAATTTGTAATTTTTTAAGTTATAAAATAATTGTTTTCCTGGATATTAGGTATTTTAGATAATCTAATTATATAGATTTGTTTTTTGTTAAAGGGAATTTTATTCCAATATTATTATTTATTTGGTAATAGTTATTTTAAAATTACTTAAGTTACATGTAATTCTATCCCTCATAGATTTAAGTGTACCCTTTGTTAGTTGATGTGTATATAAAAATTTGATTGACTTGGCAGCAAAAGGTTACAAATAATTACAAAAATAAGTCAGATGATAATATTGTTTAATTGAAAACTCTGCTAACAGTTAACCGGTGAAAATTTTAAATTTTGAAAAATAATTTTTATTCAAATCTATGCAATCATTATTTACTTAAAAATCATCAAATTTTTAAGAGATGATAATTCAATGTATAAACATATATAAAATGCACTATTTTAAATATTAAATTTAATTTAATACAAAAGTAATTTGTATCACATGTATTAATAAAATATAATAAATAAAACAAATTAAAATAAGGTAAAGCCGACTCCAAATAGTTAATGATGATTTATGAATAAAAAATTGTCTAAATTTTATGCTTATGGAAAATTTTGAAATTTCCGTTATTACCGTTTATTTTAAAACAACTTAATAATAACTACATTAACTAATGATAGTACTTTATTAAAATAATTAATTTTATATTATGATTAATAAATCATAATATAAAATGGAGACATTCATTAAATAAATTTAGCATATGTATTTAGTTGGCAATGAAAATAAATGTAACTCCTAAAAATTTTTTAAATGGATACAGCGTCTAAATTTAATGTGTTCATCTTTAAAAAAAAATAATATAAGCTATTATTTATAATTAATTAAAATGGCTATTTATTACTTTACTCTAAATATAATAATAAATGTACTTACATTTTATTACACTTTTTAGTTAATAGTAAATGTTAGAGTGAACAATGAAAAACGACAGTCCTCTTGTCGCTGAGAAAATGGCCGATGTCTCGAAAAATAATTCACAAAAAGTGTAAAACAATCGTTTATAATTTGCAAAAAAAAACTCTTTAGTTCAATTCGCACTATAGTCTCAATGAAAAATTCCTTAGTCTCTGTTATTTAAATTTTATTTTTATAAATTAATAAGGAATATTTTTCTAATAATAGTACAACTGCATAGAATCATTTGAACAGTTAAAACCGTTATAACGATTCTTCCATTAGGATATCATTATGAGTGCGTGCGCTTTTAATAAACTGAAACTACTAACAAGTGAACGGTATTTAATCCGAGAGCCAAATTGCAGCCCTGAATTTAAGTGGAGCCGTACGATTATTTTGAACGGCCTTATCACTTACCAAAAATTGCTCTGTTAGTTGAACGCTAAACTTTCCTGGAACTCGTGAGTCGCTTAAAGCGACCGGCAACCAATTTAGTGCTACTCAGGTATAAAGTACTATATGATATCTATAAATAGTATACTATAATAAAATGTACCCTATCATATAATGCTATATGTTTAAAAAATACTTGTTTTCTAAGAGTAATTGAATTCTTAAGTGGAAAATCGAGTAATTTTTTTGGATCAATTCTACACGCATCCAAGCATTTTATGTCTTACCAGTCTAAAAAAATGTCAATAGTCATTGGATCTCGACTATACATAATTTTTTTACTATTATATTTAAACATTTAACATTTATTACATAGCTACAGTAATTGCGTGCCGATTTTACATAAAATATTTTCTTATATTACTGAAAAATATTAGTACAAAATGATAGGTATTTACAGGCATGTTGTGTTCACATACCGTGTATATTACCCAAAATGAACATATTTTTCTGTATCATCCGAGTTAGATGTCAACGGTCGATTAGTGTATGTTTTGCATGTAGTCCACTGGTCCACTATTTATGCATTGTATACACAAATCATTCATGTTTACTTCCGGATTGTGCGGAAGCCATGTAAATATAAGCTTGCGAGACAGAGGGCCATCATTCTATATGCATGCACTATGCAAGTATACAAAAAGAATAGCGTTTCATTTCCTATTAAAAAATAATAAAATGCTACTGTTAGTTCATCTAAAATTCATTTGTGTTTGTGACCACAAGTGAGGTTCAACTCTGATCAAACATTTGTTTGAAAAAAATCCAAGACTACCAACAGGTAATTCAAATAATTTCGATACTCACCAAATTATGCACTATTAAGGAAATACATTTTGTATTTATTCTCACGAGAGTTGGCTGCATTATATTGTAAAATTTTATAGTGTACTATTGTAATAAGAACTTCATAATAGTTAATTTACACTTGCTTGGTAAAAATAATAGTAAGGGGCAAACAACAAAATAGTTTGAAATTTTTAAAATAATGCTTTTTTTTTAATTTACCAATGAAAGGATAATATTCATATATTTATATTAAA